CCTATATATGATCCATTTCATTTCTGGGCAAGGCTACAGTAGTTTCACTATGTTTCTTATATACGATACAATTTATTTCAGGGCAAGGCTACAGTTGTTTCACTATGTTTTTTATATACGATACAATTTATTTCAGGGCAAGGCTACAGTAGTTTCACTATGTTTCTTATATATGATACAATTTATTTCAGGGCAAGGCTACAGTAGTTTCACTATGTTTCTTATATATGATCCATTTCATTTCAGGACAAGGCTACATTAGTTTCACTATGTTTCTTATATATGATACAATTTATTTCAGGGCAAGGCTACATTAGTTTCACTATGTTTCTTATATATGATACAATTTATTTCAATGCAAGGCTACAGTTGTTTCACTATGTTTCTTATAAACGATACAATTTATTTCAGGACAAGACTACATTAGTTTCACTATGTTTCTTATATATGATACAATTTATTTCAAGGCAAGGCTACATTAGTTTCACTATGTTTCTTATATATGATACAATTTATTTCAATGCAAGGCTACAGTTGTTTCACTATGTTTCTTATAAACGATACAATTTATTTCAGGACAAGACTACATTAGTTTCACTATGTTTCTTATATATGATACAATTTATTTCAGGGCAAGGCTACAGTAGTTTCACTACGTTTCTTATATATGATAGAATTTATTTCAGGGCAAGGCTACAGTAGTTTCACTATGTTTCTTATATATGATACAATTTATTTCAGGACAAGACGACATTAGTTTCACTATGTTTCTTATATATGATACAATTTATTTCAGGACAAGGCTACAGTAGTTTCACTATGTTTTTTTATATACGATACAATTTATTTCAGGACAAGACTACAGTTGTTTCACTATGTTTCTTATAAACGATACAATTTATTTCAGGACAAGACTACATTAGTTTCACTATGTTTCTTATATATGATACAATTTATTTCAGGGCAAGGCTACATTTCTTCACCATGTTTCTTATATATGATAGAATTTATTTCAACGCAAGGCTACAGTTGTTTCACTATGTTTCTTATATATGATCCATTTTATTTCAGGGCAAGGCTACATTAGTTTCACTATGTTTCTTATATATGATACAATTTATTTCAGGGCAAGGCTACAGTAGTTTCACTATGTTTCTTATATATGATACAATTTATTTCAATGCAAGGCTACAGTTGTTTCACTATGTTTCTTATAAACGATACAATTTATTTCAGGACAAGGCTACATTAGTTTGACTATGTTTCTTATAAACGATACAATTTATTTCAGGGCAAGGCTACATTAGTTTCACTATGTTTCTTATATATAATACAGTTTATTTCAGAGCAAGACTACGTTAGTTTCACTATGTTTCTTATATATGATACAATTTATTTCAGGGCAAGGCTACATTTCTTCACCATGTTTCTTATATATGATAGAATTTATTTCAACGCACGGCTACAGTAGTTTCACTATGTTTCTTATATATGATACAATTTATTTCAGGGCAAGGCTACAGTTGTTTCACTATGTTTCTTATATATGATCCAATTTATTTCAGGACAAGGCTACATTAGTTTCACTATGTTTCTTATATATGATACGATTTATTTCAGGGCAAGGCTACATTAGTTTCACTATGTTTCTTATATATGATACAATTTATTTCAGGGCAAGGCTACAGTTGTTTCACTATGTTTCTTATATATGATACAATTTATTTCAGGACAAGGCTACATTAGTTTCACTATGTTTCTTATATATGATACAATTTATTTCAGGACAAGACTACAGTTGTTTCACTATGTTTCTTATATATGATACAATTTATTTCAGGACAAGACTACATTAGTTTCACTATGTTTCTTATAAACGATACAATTTATTTCAGGGCAAGACTACAGTTGTTTCACTATGTTTCTTATATATGATACAATTTATTTCAGGGCAAGGCTACATTTCTTCACCATGTTTCTTATATATGATAGAATTTATTTCAACGCAAGGCTACATTAGTTTCACTATGTTTCTTATATATGATACAATTTATTTCAGGGCAAGGCTACAGTTGTTTCACTATGTTTCTTATATATGATCCATTTCATTTCAGGGCAAGGCTACATTAGTTTCACTATGTTTCTTATATATAATACAATTTATTTCAGGGCAAGGCTACAGTAGTTTCACTATGTTTCTTATATATGATACAATTTATTTAAGGGCAAGGCTACAGTTGTTTCACTATGTTTATTATATATGATACGATTTATTTCAAGGCAAGGCTACAGTTGTTTCACTATGTTTCTTATATATGATACAATTTATTTCAGGGCAAGGCTACAGTAGTTTCACTATGTTTATTATATATGATCCATTTCATTTCAGGGCAAGGCTACAGTAGTTTCACTATGTCTCTTATATATGATACAATTTATTTCAGGGCAAGGCTACAGTAGTTTCACTATGTTTCTTATATATGATACAATTTATTTCAAGGCAAGGCTACATTAGTTTCACTATGTTTCTTATATATGATACAATTTATTTAAGGGCAAGGCTACATTAGTTTCACTATGTTTCTTATATATGATACAATTTATTTAAGGGCAAGGCTACAGTTGTTTCACTATGTTTCTTATATATGATAGATTTTATTTCAGGGCAAGGCTACATTAGTTTCACTATGTTTATTATATATGATACAATTTATTTCAGGGCAAGGCTACATTAGTTTCACTATGTTTCTTATATATGATACAATTTATTTCAAGGCAAGGCTACAGTTGTTTCACTATGTTTCTTATATATGATACTATTTATTTCAGAGCAAGGCTACATCTGCTTCATTAAAGATTTGATATGATTTGTTTCAGGGAGAAGATTGGCTGAATTAGAGTTGTATATACTGCTAACAAAGGTAAAGATTTATACGTATACCACTATTTAAATTTAGATAACAGGGAAATGCAAATATTGCATTCCAAAATTCAAAGTTTTGCTCACATCATTTCAACAATTTTAGTGCCTGTTCATACGTGTTGCACACATGCATGATTAGATTATGTTCAGAGATAATATATGCACATAATTTGTGTTTTTTTCAATTTTCTGATTTTTGCCTCAAACT